TCTCTTTTACACTTTATATCTTAAGAAGAAAATACTACACAAAGTACTCCTTTTACTGACAAGAGGTGAGTCACATACTTTACAAAGAAACTTCAAATGGCTCCCTTAGAAGTAGATCAAATTTGTATTTTAAGAGTAAAAGAATTTCATACTAAAACTATCTACAATCTGTCTGTATTAAAAAGTAAAAGGAAAGATTTAAAAATTATAATAGCATAGAACGTTGATCTAATTCTACTTTGTATTCCGAAGTAGTTAATTAATGACTCAACTAGATATAATATTTTTCTATCAGATAACCAAAATTTAAACTACTTCAGGATTTTTTAATAGAAAGAAAATTGATATTAAGATTTTAAATCTCAATATATTTTTTAAAATATGCAGAAGACACACAAGTTTTTCATTTGTCTCGTGAACACACGAGTTCTATTATGTGCAAGAACAATATTCTAAGTATCTGGATGTTAAGGTTTCAAAGATGTATCTTACAATATGTAAATAACTATAAAACTTCATATCTATGATATCAGGTAAAAGACATAATTCAGTAAACCTTTAGTAAGCACTTACTATGTGCCAGGTTCTGGAAATACAAAAATGTGGAAGATTGGCTCCTTACTGTCTACCAGGAAAGACAAACTTACAAATACTATTCAGTAAGAAGTGTTTTAATAGCAGAAAAGAGGAAGAGTGTAAGGTACAGTGAACAACCCAGAGAAAAGAATCTCTCCAGTGCCATAGTGTTACATAAGTTCAAAGGACAGAAAGATCCCTTCTGGATGGTAACTGAGTTGAACCCTGAAGAATGACCTGGATGCTGACTGGCAAAGAAGGAAGGGAGGATATTCTAGTGGCAGACAAAGCATGACTTCAGGCATAAACATAAAAAGGTAAAGATCTAGTTGAAATGGAAAGCAAGATAACCAACTTCTACAGAGTAAAGGATACAACACAATGGGGGGATACCAATGTTTTAAATCTAAAATTTAGAGGAGTGACACAAATGATACTGTTAAAAGGTTAATCTGATAGCATATATATACTGTATTAAACCAGGGGAAGAACAGAGGCAGGGAAAACAATTAAGTTATTACTATACCATAGGGGTAAAAATAATAAAGGTATGAACTAGGTTGATAATAAGAGTGGCTAGGAAAAGAACTGATGCAAAGTTATTGTGAAGAAAAGACTCAGCTAGAAGACTGGATATATGCAGACAAGGGAAATGAGTGAACAATAAATGTTTAATTTGATCTAGAGATTATGACATTAACAGAAACAGCGGCATCAATGAAAAAAATTGGCTTGGTGAGGAAAGATATGCTTTGTTTTAGGCTGAAAAAAATTCTTGACAATGACATAAAAACTGACTAAGGAACTTACTAAGACTGAAAAAGGATGCTGGTAAAGTCAAAGATGTGAAAAAAATTATATATCTAAACTAATGTTAAGTGAGAAAAGTAGATTATAAAACTGAATTACAACTATGAAAACCTATTTTTGAACAATAAGAAATCCTTTGAAGAAATCACAAAGATTAATGCAATTAACAGTAATTGCTGTTCTATGGCAAAGGGGTTGGACCTGCATTTTTACTGTATCTCTCCTTAAAGATAGATTTTTAAAATATAAAATCACAATACATGTACTATTTCATTTTAAATCAATAAATCATCAGAAGAAAAACGGAAATGAGAAATTGGAGCTCTGCATAAATGAGAGAACTAGAAACTGACTTGGAAGTTGCTGGCCCAGAGGAAGGAGATAAGATTTTAAGGTTAAAATCAAAAGACTAAACTCAAAACTGTCGAAAGAAATCTCAATCCTGCATTTTATGCACACCAGTGTCAGTAAGATTCAGCAATAAGGCATTCTATATATAACCTTATTAATCTCCTGAAATCTTTATAAAGTATGATGAAATACAGATATAATCATATACTATAAAACTCTACCAGGTAACTATAAAATCAGAAGCTGATTATTGCCCACTAATAAAAATGAAATCCTATTCTAGACCTCAGTTCTAGAAAAGTCAGAAATTTATATCATATGCTTACTTTTGGACTGTTTTCCGGCTGGGGGTGGAGGGATTGATGAGGGAAAGAGACCAAGATAGGAAATTTGACAAAAAACACTGCTTTTTCTCCTGTATGGATGACATATTTCTATACCAAAAAAAAAAAAAAAAAGCTAAATAAAGACTATCTTTTTTAACTTCTAATGAGAGAGCACATTCAGCCAATTAATAAAGAATATAAATATAAATATAAACTGTTTATATTAAAAAATGGAAACAAATATAAACTTTGTATTAAAAAATGTAAGGAAAATATTACTTTAAGTAGTATATTTGTGGATTGTGAAGTTCCTAAAACTTCATGGTTCTCCTGACAATGTAATATAAAACATTTGATCAAAACCAAAAAAGTAAATGAATATTCAAAAAGACTAACCAATAATTATTTGGTAGAAACATTTTAGGTATTCTACAATCCTTTGAGAGGTTAAAGTAAAAAAACTATTCAAGAACTACTAAAGAAATCAGTGATCATTTTAGGTTTTATAATGTACCTACTAAAAACAAGCAGCATTCAAGAGATTTCTTAAAAGCCTAAAATTTTTCTGCGGTTCTTTTTAAAAAAGTTTATTTATCGCCTTTCACTATCTGTTGTCCTGAATTTGCCCAAAGTGAACTTCTTATTCTCACAGTCACAATGGGAAAAAAGAGCTGATAAATGAGAGTTAAGAAAACACAGTAAAAAGTTTAATGCTTGATATTCTAAAGACTCCGGCATCACTGATTCAGGGAATGTACAGATAAATTACAGAAAGATATTTTGCAAAGGGCACAAACTTAGAAACTTCTACTTAAATGCTTGTCAACTAAAAAAATACCCAATAAAGACTACATCTACATAATGCCAAACTAATCACTGAATTTGCTTAATCAGGAAAACATTGGTAACTGATAATTCTTGAAACATGCAAATTGAGAAGAGAAAAAAAGACCTTAGGAAGTCCCTTACATGGATTACCTCTTCCTACCTCAACCAATAGTACATTAATATAAGGATTAGAAGTCTTCCTTTTCTTGCAAGCCAATACAACTGGGTTCTTCCAAAACAGCAATAACTTTAAGTTTCTATTTGATCATTTTAATAAAACATATTGATGTGAACCATTATCCAATTATCCTGATCTCAGACATACAGTAATAACTGTGTTTTTCAGAATCAATTTCATACTACAACGTGTAAATTTTACTTGAAAGAAATTTGGAAAGATACTTCATCTTACATAATTACATTAACATTTCAAATGTCAAAAGCTTCTTCCTCAACAACATGTTTTTTAATATCTAGAGTTATGCTATGCCTTAAAATAAACTTCAGCCAAATAAAAACTTTGCTATACATTAGAGAATCTAAACTAACGGAATAGAGAAAGAGCTAAAGACCATGCTGTAATTTTACTGGATGCCACATTTGGAATTCCAGATTTGTCCTGCAATTTGTCAGTCATTTCAATGCATCCAGTCAATTTTGTAAACACAGGTTATATGCCAAGTTTGATATGCTAATTTGATTAAATAAAACTTAAAATTGGTCATCACTTGTTTAAAAAGGAGTAAAAGGAAAAATGTCAACCAGACACCTCTCGTTTAAAAAGACATCAAGTTAATATTCATTATAATATATAGCCTCTTAGGCTTATAGAAATATAAAGACTTAAGTTCCAAACTCCCAAACAAGTTTTTACTACAGTGTTACTCAAAATATAGCCACTATCTTCCACATACAACTAAGGCAACTTTGAAATAGCTTCCAGGTCTTTTCATTGTAAGGGGATGCTATTGCTGTGAAATCATTTTCTAGTAATTCCAAATTGCCCACTAAGAAAATAGAAAGTATATGGCTTGTCACCTATTACTATCACTTAAAAAACTGCTTTTTATGCAGAACTCTACGTGTTATGTTGCTTTTGGCCTGTTAAAGGCAAAGCAACATTATCTCTGGATTGCCAATAGTTTCTCCTTATTTGGCTAACATTGAGAGATCCCAATCAGACTACTATAAAACTTTAATATGCACAAAGCATCCATTTTGAGAAGTTTGTGACCAGCTTTCTTTTTTCCCACCCCCTAAAGAAAAATCCAAGCTTGGTAACCGGCTTTGAAAAGAGTGCTCCGTCTTTATTTTTCTCTTTCTAACCTCAATGCACACCCCAGGACTGGGGCTCAAGGATCTCTGACACTGCGGCAAACTCTTCGAGTACCAGATTCAAAACGTTCGGGACCGGAGATGGGCAAGCCCTTTAGAACTCTCAATTACCCTACCCACTTCCATCACCTCCCTTTCAGCCGGTGCAGATCAGCTAACTACACCCCGTTTTCCCCTCCCCAGTGACCAAGAGTAATAAAGGAGAAAACAGGAAATCGTTCGCTCAGAGCATTCAGCTTTGGGCTCTTGATTACTATTATTATCATCATCATTTGTAATCAAGTCCTAAAAAATACAACAAATCCAATGCCCACCTACGAGCCAAAGACGTCCATCTGCTCAAGAGTCCCTAACGCCCCTCGTTAACCGTTCTTCGGCATTCTTCCCCTACCCCCAAATATATCACTGACACCAGAGCCCAGGCTCAACCCCACTACACCCCTCCCTGTCTCGATCCCATACCCCAGACACACGTCCACAAATGGCCAGGGGGCCCCAAGACGACCACAGTCCCTTTTCCCCTATGCGCCGGAAACCACCCGGTTCCTAACTCCAACAGCAACTGTTCTGAAGGGGGGGCCTCAAGCCCATCGCCCTCCCTCCACGAATTCTCTCCCTCCCTCCCCTCCCTCCGGAGAAGCCGCCCACTCACCCCGCACCAGGGAGTCTCCCGCCACCCCCCAGCCTCAGGAGGTCGAGAGGGGAGGTCAGGCCCTGGCGGCAGGCCGACGAGGACCCTCAGGGTCAGGAGGGCCGGCGGCGGGGCACACAGACCTGGTGCAGGGCAGTGAGTCCGTCCACATTGGCGTAATTGATGTCGGCGCCGCGGTGCAGCAGCTTGAGGACCTCGTCCGTGTCGCCGCTGGAGCAAGCAGCCAGGAAGACGGCGCCATCGTCGAACTTCACCTTGGTCTTCTGGCGCTTCACCACAGGAGGCTCGAGGTCCGTCTCGGAGCCGATCCAGCGCTTCAGTTGCTCATTCCGCTTCTGCTTAGCGTCCGCCATCTTCATCCCCTCTCCTACCGCCGGGTCTTCTTATCGCGAGGCGGGGAAGGGGGGAGGCGGAGAGGGAAGAGAGGGGAGGAAGGGGGTGTGTGACTGTTTCTATGAGTGCAGGCCAGAGGAGGGCTGGGAACCGGGAGGAGACGCTCGAGACTTCCAGTATCCCACAGAGCACTGGGGCGGCGCGCCCGGCCGAGCGGACCTCCCTCCCTACCACAGAAGCCCTCCCGCCCCCGGCACCGCCACCCTTCACCGGCAGCCCATCTAACGTAACTTCGCGAGATCCGGGTAGGGAGGCGCCTTCCGGCCAGTGCGCATGCGCCCTGGTCCTGCGCCCGCCCCAGGAAGAGCCCTCCTGCAAACTGTGGCGGGGGCGGCCCGGCCACCGGAGGGAAGTGGGTGTGGCCGGTGCTGTCCGGGCTGCGGAGGCCGGGACCAACCTGGAAGGGAGGAGGCTGGGAGAGAAGGTTGTCCTACCCGGCTGAGGGCTCCCGGGGTGTAGGAGGCCTGCAGTCGGGCTACAAGGCTCTCTACAGGGCAGACCTGCCTCCAGGGCTGTCTCAGCTATGCGGAGTCGTTTGCTTAGGGCGGAGGATTTTCCTGTTGGCTGCGTTATTTGAATGGAATGGAGGATAGGTCGTGAATTAGGTGCTTGTGTTTGCTCGTTTTAAGGAACTCGAATAAACTTGGGCATCTCAGTATTGATAAGAACCTTTTAAAAGTGGGGTCTGTGTATCCGAGGGCTTTCGTGGTAGTTACCGAAGTGCCCACATATTGACAAGGGTGGACCGGTGGTAATTGCTGTGGCTTCCTGCCAACCCCCACTGTAGAAACGTCTTTCCTCTTATGCTTACTTTTAGTGTTGTTTTGTTTTGGTTTTTCTCTCACACTTAATTTTAAGTCCTCTTCCCCTTACTTCAATGCTTTCAGCCTGTCTGGTATACCCACGAGCTTAACTCAGTCTTGTTACTGGTCCTGACCTTTTAAGGGATTTCTGATTCCAGCCCATCGCTTTCTAAGGTGGGGTAAAGACCCAGCAGCGTCTAGAATTCAAAAGGACTGTTAATAAAGGCAATTAATTCAACCAATATTTATTGAATGCCTACTATGAGCCAGTGACTGTACTAAGCACTGAAGATACAATTTTTAAAATGACGTTTATTTGAACCACCTCTTGAGGTCACATGCTCAAAAAGTCTTTGTAATTTATCATCGTCGTAAAAAAAGATTTTAACTTTGCCTTGTATGACCACACATGCGTGCGTACACTATTTGTAATACTGATGTCTTATGAGCCATCTATGTGCAATCTCCACCAACTGATATTTTCCTAAACGCCCCATTGTTATCATCCGCTATTTTTTAGAGAGTTTAGATGCAAAATAAGTCATAAAAACATATTGAATAGAAGTTTAATGTTCATTTAGACTCTGTCCCCAAAGAACTAGTCGATTTACTTAATTTTACTGAGAGCAGGATTAGGATTCATTCTGCAAATATGCACCTGTTCTGGGTCAGGCATTGTTCTAGATGCTGGGTATACAACAGTGAACAAATAAGCTTTTCTTATTCTCAGCAGGATGCCTTATGCAAGAGATTACGTTGCAGCCTATCATATTGAGAAATAGAATAATTGACTAAAATCTGATTAGGAAGCCATCTGCTTGTAAAACTGAATTTTCTGAATTATGATTACTAGGATAGTAATAGAATCCAGGTTAGGGTAAAAATATTTCCTCTGAAAATATTGTAGAAATAGAAAACAAGTGTAACATGCATAAAATGCACCATTGTGTGTTCATAAAATACTCCAATAATAATATTAGACCTTTGAATAATGGTGGTGTGAGGTGCTGAAGAACTCTCTTAGCACTAATACAAAATCCCTATCCACAGATACGCTCAGAATGAAAAAAAAGTAATTTGAGGATTGCCTTTGTCAGTTCTTCTATCTAGAAAAACTGATGCTTATCCTTACTGTTTTCCAAGAATGCTATGGTCCATTTTATAGCTCTTTAAAGTGCTCTTGGAATATAGGTCAATACTTCAAATTTTCATTTGGGCAAGAGAAGTTTGGTGGGACCTATGCGATTTCTGATTCAAGCACTTATTTCAGGATATGAAATTAATAAAACAGTCATTTATTAATAAAACATAACTACTTAAGTCTAGTTCCCAAAAGCTACCAGTAAATAATAAATAAAATAAATTTAGAAAATTAAAACCTTGGGGTGTTCATGTATGCAGATTTCACTGGGTTTAGCTTTCCTTCTTCCACAGCTCTAAGGTTGAGGAAGTTGTACGTTTATCTCATTGGAAGTACAACACTTTTAAACTGCCACCTGCTTTGTCTTTTAAAGGAGGATACTTTTTAAATTGCTGTTATTGAGTTAATTATACTGATGATCTATGGCTAATTAGAGAGCAGGCAAAACTTTTTATTAAAACACACACACAAAGCAATAATTTCATATTACCTGAATAGCTGAGTGAACTTAAAGATTTGTCTAAGCAAAAGAAGAATTGAAGAAATGCAAATATTTTCATTTCCAAATGGCCTTTAAGTAGATTGGGATGTGAGGATACATTTCAACTTCTTTAAGTCAAATTAAGCCTTAAAATAGAAGTGCAAATACACCTATACTTATTAATTTGCTATTTTTTTTCTGCAGCAAATCATTAATTTCCTTGGATTGAGTGTCCCCCAAAACTTGACGCTATTGTGACAGTGTTAAGTGTGTGGGAAATCCTATTATGGTAATTGAAAGGTGGGGCCTTGAAGAGATGATTAGATCGTGGGACCATTCTGTAGTGAATGGATTAATAATCGTGGTCAGGGGTGTGGTTCTGAGGGCTTTAAAAGGCGAGCATGAAGAGTCTGTCTGTCTCTCTGCTCCACCATTTTCTGCCATGTGAGATCCCTGGATCAGTGTCACCACAACCAAGACCCTCACCAAATGTGTTCCCTGGACTTTGGACTTCCCAGCCTCTGAAACTGTAAGCAATAAATTTTGTTTTCTTTATAAATTACCCAAGATTGTCAAAATACTATCTCCATATATCTTTTTCAGAGTTTAATTATGCTATGCATATCCCTTACTAACAATTAATTTACTTGTTAATTATGATCAATTTAAACAATTTTTAATTAAATCACAAATGTGTTTTAAATGCTTATACACATAGATATTTTTTCCTGTGCATGTTGCTAGGAAAAAACTGGAATGCACCATCACCTAAGAATCCAGCATAATATATACCATCACCCAAGAATCCAGCATAATTTGATATTATATTTATACTCATGTTTATTATCAGCAAAACAATGAAAGAATATAACAACGTAGGTACAAAAGTGCACGCGCGCGTGTGTGTATTTGCGTGTGACCTTGGCTTAGTACCAACTATGCAATGTGGAGATTTACTACGATCAAATGGAACCTGAAACTATATTTTATCACAATGTAATGTGTGAACACAGGACAAGAAAAGGAAAAGTAAGTTATATTGGGTTGATTTTAAATCAACCAAGCTAAAATAAAAATCTCAGAATTAATCTTTTGTTCAGTAAAAGATTGGTTAATTGCCATTTGATAAGAAACTTTTTTACATGTAGAGAGAAATTTGTCTCCACTGTAAAGAAAAGACTTAAGAACTCTTGGGATCTAAGTCGTTTCTTTGCTTGTTTAATTGATAGCTCACTGCTTTGTCAGCCTTTACGTTCTTTATAAAATAATGGTGAAGGTATATATCACTAATACGATGTAGCATACTAAAATTTTCTGTTAACCAACTTTCTGTTCAGTGACTCTTTTTTCCCATTAACTTCTGTTATACAATTGGAATTATATGTTGGTACAAAAATGTACATAGGATATTGATAAATACTTTTAACTTATATATTTATGTTTTTCTCTACCCTAATTTTTTTTTTTTTTGGCTTATAAAAGTATACTACAATTGAAAGATGTTTAATCTTCTATCCTATGAGCATCCTGAAATTCTAATTACATTTTTACATTTGAGAATAGAATAGTTAACAACGCACTATGGTCTTGTAGGTCTTATCTTTATACCTGAGCTAAGCTCTCTTACATTATATAATAATTTATTTACAGTATTTTATTTAAGAGCCCGAAGAAAAGTTTATAGTCTGCTAGCATCATAAGATATTCAGTCCCACCCAGGGAGTTGACTAGAACCAATAGTAATCACTCTAACTTGCTTCAGATTCCATTTCTTAGAAATCAATCCTGATTTCAAATCATAGCATCTAGCCCCTTGCCTTGCCTCTGTGTTAAAAGGTCAGTCTCACTCTCAGACCCAACAGTTCCTTCCACTACTCGAACAGTTAGCTTGCTTCTAACTCTTCAGGATAAATTTTCTGCCACATTTAGCTTCATCCCAAGAACCTAACCCTAGCACAATACAAGTAGTGGCTGATATTCCCTTGGAGCTCCTCTGGTCCCCCAAAACTGGGAATCAGATGAGTGTCTAGCTAGTGCAGGCATAGTGCTAAAGAGAAAACTTACCTTTGTTGCACATCACTCACTCCCAACCTGTATCATGTTCATCGTCAGAACATCACATGGCCATTCATATGAATTACTTAATTTAGTGTTTCCCAAACTTTATCACAATTTTTTGCCAGGTCCAAGAACCACAAATATTATTATTTTCTTAATGTTTTCTTTAATCTTTTTAAAACATTTAAGTAGATTTATTTTAAAGGAGATATTATGTTACTTTGGTAAGTGAAAAACATTTCCAATTGGCATAAATAAAAGAAGACCTTAAAAACAAATACAATGAAAAGAAAACAGCATTATTGTAGCTAGGTTGCCTATCAAGTATCTGAGCCCAAGGCCTGCTCTCAGATTGTTAAAAAAGGAAGATTGGTAAGGGTTGGACATATTAGTATCAACCTAATTGGAAAAAGAATAAATTTTGCTAAGTGCTTCAGTGTTATTTTAATGTTACAACTACCTAAAATTACCTCATGTACCACCAGTCTACATGGTCCATATTTTGAGAAACTGGCTGACCTTAATTACCATGTGTCGTGATCATTATGATTAATTTAGTGAAGGTTACAGGAAGGGCCTTAGTGGCACACCCATCTCAGGGTATCGAGATAAGCCATTGGAAAGGCAATTTATAGGAAAGTATCTATGTGGTCTGGGGGAAAACCTGAAAGAGCTTCAGAATTGAGTCATGCTCCATAGCACTGAAATTACGAAAACAATTGAAGGATTCTCCAACATATGGAAGGAGAGC